TTCTTAATAAAAATAAATGTTTTTCATACAAAATATCCTGGTTATGATTTTTCGTCACTCTATTCCTTCCAGTTCCTCTCCAGATATTTTTCTGCTAAGCTGGAAGACAGTGATCTCTAGCAAGTCTGTCTCTGTTCCCTTTGGAGGTTGATTTACAGGTAGGTGTGCACAGGACACATGACTAGTTTTATGAGTGCTGGGATCTAAACTCTGGTCCTCACAATTGTGGAACAATGCTCTTAATTGATGAGTTCTATTTAGTCTGAAGATGGTTTTATTAAGGTTAGATTAAACAACAGGGCAAGTGGACAGGAGAATTCAGCACTTGTTAGGAGAAGGGAGTTGGAGAGAGGAAGGAGAAGGAACAGCAAGGAATCCTTTAAATAGAATCTATAGGTAAAAGACACTCCTTACAGTACAAGGTAGACATGTTGAACAAAGAAAGAACTGGATACTCAGAGTTTTTCTTATGTAAGGGAAAGCTGTTTCTTTTAATCTCTTTGCTTTTAAAACTATTTTAACTACATTAAACTCTTCAGCATGCATGTATTTTATATTGAGACTATTTCCTCAAACTCCCTTTCTCCTTGTTTTCATTGCTCATAAGTCTTCTTTGTTTTTCTTAATGTTTTACTTCAAGATCATTCCACAGATAGATATAGACACATATGAAAATGGCTTAATATAGAATGTAATCACCAATGAAAGAAAGCATTCAGTATTTGTCTCTGAGATTATTAACTGTAGCAATGGAATATTATGAAACTATTTCTTACAGTATAAGAGAATGGAAGTTTTTCTGGACTTCATTTGGTTAATTTGTTATTTATCTTTGGTTAATAACAAATATTGAGGTCTCTTAAGACTTAATGACTGTTACCCCTATGAACATACACTGTTTGCTTATCTTGCCTTTACGAAACTAATGTGAGAACCAACCTTACCTGTTTTGTATTTCTCAAATAATCAACTTATACTTTATAACCTAAGCTAATGTTTACCTGTAATCTTAAATTTTGTACTTTCTCATGCCCCTTTCACACAGTATTTCATGTGTTCTGAGAATCATTTGCTGAAAGAAATCAAACATAGAGATTGAATGCAATCTTCTAAAATAAATATCAACCATAAATGTTGAACACAACATGTAGATTTTGTTTGGTAAACAATGATGCTTGATTACTGTTTATTATCTGGGTCACTTGTGGGCAACAGGAGTCAGTGATTTAATTTTTTTTAAAAACTTCATTAAAGATTTCCTTCATTCCTTCCCCATGTGATGAATAGACATAGACAGACTTACAGGCAAAAAGAAAACGTGACAGGGACAGAGTCACAAGATGTCCTTCAGACAGGAACAGAGTTAGACTCAGACAAAAGATGGACAGGAGGTTGGAAGACACAGGGAATGCAAAGCAGAGAGTTCCAGTTTGGGCCTGCTCTTGGTTAAATGACACCAAGGAGAAGTACTTTGTTTCCTTTTTAAAATGAGATACCAATGCACTATTGGTGACTCATAGTCTATTATTGTATTCAAATCAACCACACATCCAAAAATTTAATCTTATTAGTATCCAGAAATTTCTTTGCTTCTGTAAAACTACATGAGTAAATAAAATCCTGAATACTGATGACTCACTCTACTTTGTGAAAAAGTGTTTAGCATTCCTGTGGACAGCTTTCTTTCCCAGTTAGAGTAGCTTAATTGTCCTATTCAGCATCAACATTATCATTCAATAGACTGCTGGGCTGCTGGGCTTATTACTAGATGTGGCTAAAATGCTTGCTTAGACTGCCAGCTTTCCTTCACAGGAATGTCATGCCTGACCATGAGGGTCTCTAGGAAGCTCATGGAATGGAAGGAATTCACTTTTCAATAAAGAAAAAAATCTAGATCTATTTGATTACTCAAGGGAAAGATGTACCTCTTCGTCTGATTTTTAACATCTATGGTTTAGTTATTTAAGTTTCTGTATGTTTATTTATTGTATGTTTAGAATACACATGTAGAAATACATGCACACAACTTTATATATCTGCATTAAAAAGATCTAAGAACCACAGTGAGAGAAAACACCTAGCACTTGCCTTTCTGAGCCTTTTAAGCCAACTTTTACTTGAGTTTTAATATTTATTGAGTATGGTTTAAATTCTTATAATGGATTAAAACGAGCTAAATACAAGAACATATCTTGTAGTAATAAGCATCACAAGGAAAAACAGTAGCATGAAAGGAACACCTTAAATGAAGGTAGAAATGGTTGGAGACTTCTCAGCAGTCAGTAGTTCTCAACCTCTACCCAACTGCATGACTGAGTAAAATTATGCCTGGTGTGTTGCCGGAAGCAAAGACCTGTATTTGGTTATAGTCATCTTAGTTCACAAGTTAAGTAAGATATTTACCTCTATAGGGCAAGTTCCTGATACTTATCTCCTCCTGTGAGTTAAAAGTATCAGCAGACTTGCAGGCCCCAGGCTTCAGAAGTAATTAGCATTTTCCTTGTTAGTAAACATTTACAGACCCTCAGCATTTCCTTATCTCTTCCTATCAGCTAGGGATGTCTGGAGACCTGACATTTTGGTTAGATCACTGATATTCCAGCTACCTACCCTACCCCTGCCTTTTTGCTATATAATGCTCCTGAGAAAAAGTAAAGTTGACAGCTTGATCAGAAAACAGACTTGCTGTCCTTTTCTTGTGTCTCTTATCTCTTCATTCCTCTCTCTTCCAGGTTCATACTCCTGTTTGTGCCCTGCTGGTTGGGACAATGCATCAGCATCTTTCAGGGACCGAATTTTATGATTTTTTAAAAAATGCTGCAAGATCCCTGGCGTCAGTAGGCAGCAGAAATGCTGTAGGTCCCAAATGGTGGTAGTGGGCCATGTGGTGGCAGACAATGGGGCCCTGGCAGCCAGTCCCAGACAGAGATAGCTGCTGGTCGATGAGCAATGGCTGGTCCCAGGCAGGGAGACACATCGCAGGCAGGCAGAAGACAGAAACATGGATACACAAGATTTGCAGAGTGAGGTTGAATATTTATTCAGGGAGTTATGACGGAGGAAGGGAGAAGTGGAGATGAGAGAGAGGAGAAGAGGAAAGAGAGACATAAGGGGGGAAGTGGAGAAGTGGGGAGAGAGGCAGATGGAAAGAGAGAGTGCTCAGTCCAGAAGCTGAAGATCAGCCTGCCTCAGCAAATGGGGAAGGGAGTGGGTGTGGCTTGTCTCTTAAAGGGACCAGGGACCAAAATCATAACACCGAATCTCACAGAAGCCTCTGTTCACCTGAACCTTTCCTATGAGGCAACAACACAAAATAATGCTTCAGCACAGCAGATTTCTCCTGGTTATTGGTGTGATTTCCTGGGATCCTTCCTACTGTTTAGCCATTTATCAAGAGTTCTCACAGGAAAGCACAGAGAGCCTCTGGTTTTCTGGTTTCTTGCTTCATCTGGTTAGTTTGTTTTTTTCCTAACCTCCAAGTTGAAAGTGAAAAATAGAAGCTATGTAGGCATCAACTCTCTGTCCATCTCATGTGATAGCATCTTGTTCACGCAGAAAGATCATTATAATTTTTTGTAAGGAAGATGAATCCTGTTCCTATCATGTTTCTTCTTCGGCCACTACTTCTCTATGGTGAGAGATATATTGGGGCCAAGCCTTTTTATAAAACGTCACTTTATTTATGTTTGGTTTAACAAATGAAACAAACAAACAAAAAAGCAAATTATATACTCATTAAATTTATAACTGATAAAATTTGGGATCGTAATATTAAGTTGGGGGCCTTAGCCTAGCCCTTGGCATTCACTTTGGAAGCCACCTCCCCTGAGTTGCCTCAGTCCAAACCTTGTTCTTTCCCCAGAGAGTGCCAAGGAAGTTCACCAAGGCTTGACCACTTCCTAGGAAGGGTCAAAACCACTCCCACAGGCTATTTAAACTGCCCAACAGATAAAAAACACATTGTCTCCCCTCTTCCTCTTTAGTGGTCATGTTGGCTTTCTGTTTTCCCTCTCAGGGTCACACAAAAGAGCAGATGTTTAATTAAACCTGGATATCTTTTAATTTGGTCTGATTTGGTCAGATTGAGATTATTTACATCAGCAGAGAGGCTCATTTTTAAGGAATATTCCTGAGAGATATAATATGCGATAAAAGGATTAATAAAATCAGGCAAAATTCTGATCCTTCACAGAGATGAGGGTGAATTTTAAATTATAACACAAATTCTAGGGCTATTGGAATACCAGTTGTAGTATTTCAAATGAGGAAATGTGACATGTCTGTGATAGTGAGCAAAGTGCTACTTAGGGTTCTCTAATGATAGCTGACGTTCTGAATTAATTCAGAGTGTAATTTGTCAACACATTTATTGAGCTGCATTAATACACATTAGAACAATGTAAGGTGACACAGGAGAGCACGATGAATCTTATCTAATGAGGCTGTTGGAGTCAAGAAGAACCCGAGACTCAAACACATATGCTGAGCTTAATAAGCAGAATTCCTAAGGTTGGTAGTGACTGAGCTGGAGGAGAACAGGCTATTACAGAAGCAAACAGCTGTTTAAACAAAGGCAACATTCCAGAGATTCATCTGTGATATAAATCTAGGTTTTCTTGGATAGACCTTATTAAAGAAGCAAAATAGAGAGAATCTGAATTTTATGTGAAACCTTAACACATGGAAGAAGACAATTAGATAACTAAATTGAAGTTATAAAGTAAGTTTGGTGTAATTATCAGGGGCAGATTGTCAAAGCTAGCATTTTTGTTTTGGGGCTGAAAATCAAACATCTTTTAATACATAAACTTTCTGGGTGTGTTTGTTGTAGAGACATGAAGGGATTAAAAGAAAGGCCATGGACTCACTCCAATCATGGAGCCTTTGCGTGGCCCCACCTGTCTTGACAGATATAAATAGTGTTGGAGGTTTGCCTTTTATTTAGCTCAGGTTACTGAGGAAGAAGAGACAAGAGTCAGATTTGTTGGGCTGTGGACACCATGGATTTCAAACATAATCGTTCAGTGAAGCTGAATGATGGACACTTGATGCCAGTGCTTGGATTTGGCACATTTGCTCCGGATGGTGTAAGTGGGACTCTCGGGAACTAAAGCATTAGATATCAGCTATCCTGGAAGTGCGTTCAGAAGGCAAAAGACCTGCACCTGGTGAATGAGTCACCCGGGCTTCTTTTTCCCTGCTTACAATTTACTTCTGTTCATGCTTGAGGATGAGTATTGGTACTTGGTGAGATGCCAAGATGTTGAGTCTGGAGATTTGGAGGTTAAAGATTTTGTAGGCAGATTATATCATTATTGTTATTAACATTGTTTCCTGACAAATCTCAATGCTTGCTATATATTTAAGTACTTATATCTCTAAGTATAATGAATCCTTGATGTAAGTATTCTTATTAATTTTTAAATATTTATCATCTAAAGCTCAGGTTTCTTCTGCATTCTAGTCTTGGTTAGAAATCCCTGTGGGCAATGGATAGAAGAGAAAATGGCTAACAGTAGGGACATTGGACTTTAGCTTTGGTATGAGTTTTTTTGGAAGAAGATGTATTTGTTAAAGAATATCAAGTATTTGAACAAATTTTAAAATTTCATACAGGTACACAACATGTTTCAATATTCTGCATCACTCATTCCATATCTAGAACTATGCTTAGACTCTCACGTCTCTTTCCCAACTTCATTTCTTTTTTCAACTTCCTCTTCCTCCTCCTCCTCCTCCTTCTTCCTCTTTTTCTCTTTCTCCTCCTCCTTCTCCTTCTCTTCCTTCTCTCTCTTTAAATAACACACTATAATCATTAATAGTGACTCTATGCACTTGAATATGAGGTCATCCACAAGAACATGGCCAACCTAATTATGGCCACATGTCTGAAGTGAATGGATTTTCTATTTCCCAGAAGTCATTAACTTTCAGTAGAAGTTTTTTAGGAGCGGGGGGTGGGGGATAGGGGGACATGGTATTGTCAGCCCATTTTCAGTCTGCATTGCAGTGTTGACTGGATTGATATTGTGAAGGATTTCTGCAGACAATGACAGCTGCTATCAGCTCATGAATACAAGCATCCAGCCCATCCAGAAGATACTGTTGTACAACAATTTTCCTGTTTCATGACCTCTGTTTCTTACACTCTTTTTTCCTCCTCTTCCATGTCATTCCATCAGCCTCTTGAAGAAAGAGTAAGCTATAGAAGTCCCATTTATGGGTGAGCCCATCATGGACACCTGTTCTCTGGTAATAAACAGTTGTGGGTCCTGGTATTAGTCATTGTCTATGGCAAAAAAAAAGCTTTGTTGATAAAGACTGAGAGATGCACTAATCTATGAGCATAAAGATAAACATTTACAATATAAGTCCAACTTTACAAAAATGTCTCTGAGAATCCACAATAATTCCATTCATAAGTTAGTGTTCAAGACTTGCAAAATATAAAGTAACAAGGGAATGGGATCATACTTCTTACCTAACTTATTATGTACCCATTCAATAAGTCATTGTAGTGAACTGAAATTGTTAAACACTAGTCACAGGTAATAGAACCATTGGGTGGCTTGGGAAGGATTGTCTCCAAATGACAGGGATCAAAATATTCAGTGTTGGTGGAAGAATGACAAAGTATTAGTATTGAACAGAACCAGTTTGTTTTAACTGACATTTGTTACTCTAGTTAAGACAGAATTGTATCTTAGGAAACAAAACAAAATCATTCTTCCATAATGCTTTCACTTGTAAAAGTAAATGCAATACATGCCATTGACAAATAGAAAGGAACAAACAGAAGCTTCTATTACAATCTAGTTGAAGTATTTATTCTGAACTTGATTCTTACTCAATGAATAACGTCCCTATGAGGTCACTTCTGTAACAAAAGCCTGCTCCATTGTATGCTTTGTGATATTATTTGTCTACCAAAGTGTTCTGGGAGCAATGCAAACACAGGACATCTGATTAAGTCATTAAACTGTACACTGAAATTTGAGGAAATTTTGTAAATATTATTATCCTGACTGGCACCCAGCTGCAGCTTACTAAGGTGTGGTACTTGTTCTGGTAAGAATAACTGATCAGAAGAGCAGTTATCAGCTCTTTGGGCATCTGCTATATCTAGATATTCTCACTGTGGATTTCTGGATATGAATTTAGCATTCTACCCTTCAATCTTCCTACTTCTGATGCAGACCAAGGGACAGATTCATGTAAACTTCCTGCATGTAACATTAGTGGATCAATTTTTGTCAGTAAAAATAAGCATTAAAATCAATAAACTAGTATTTAAACCAGAAAGGACTAATATATATTTTACTTGTCTGGAGTATCATCTATGATGGCTTTGCTTTTGGTTTTGATTCATTAAATATATGCAAGAAAAGTAAAAGTAGAAATTATGAGGGGCAAACAGAGAAATGCAGAAGATATATAGCAAAACAATAAATTAGCGGCTGAAAAACATCTAGTAGAAACTGTGAGAACCCTTTTGAGGTAACCAGATGAAATTTTCCAGTTAAATGTACATCCTAGGTAGAGTGAAGTATCTCCTTGGGTGAGGGTTCCAAGTAACTGAACAAACAGCATCAGAGAGAGTTGACATCATCAAATTTGGATGCAAACTGCATCCAGCAAGAAGTAACTGTGAAAAGTGAGGACAGTAAATTGGAGTTCCTTATTTAGCTCTCTCTCCCTATGAATGAGCTTTCTGTGGGACAACTTTCTTTCTTTCTTTCTTTCTTTCTTTCTTCTTCTTCTTCTTCTTCTTCTTCTTCTTCTTCTTCTTCTTCTCTTCTTCTCCTCTTCCTCATCCTCCTCCTCCTCATCATCCTTCTCATTCTCATTTTCCTCCCTCTCCTCCTCTTCCTCATCCTACTTCTTTTCGTCTTTCACCATCTCCTTCTGTTGTTTCTGCTGCCTCTCCTCCTTGTCTCCTTCCTCATGCTGTAGCCTTTTCATATCATGAGATAAAAAACAATCACCTCTGGTTAGTATTCTGTGTTTAAGGAATGCTTTCAATACTGTTCACTGACTGAGAATTTTTTTCACCTGGTACAAATCCAGAGGGTTAACCTGACCCAGAGCTGAGAGTTTTCCAGGAAAACTGATATAAACATGTTTGGGTCTGAAGTTGGTAGAGAGGAAAATCTGCTTCCAGAGCCAGCTTCTCAATGAGCTTTAGCAGCCGATGACAATTTACCGACATCGTGTACAATATATATTTTCTCATATGCATATTAAAGCAATCCTGGTAAATGCTGTCACTCTTACTTGATAATTAATCAATTTAGTGTTCATGATCAAGCTTCTAATTGTCATTAAAAATCATCCTATGAATTATAAGAGTCTGCAAATGCTATACATGTATTTCTGTGTGCTTTTCACAACAAAATAGAGGTATTCAAAGCATATTTGAAAAGCTGTTAAGATGAGGGTGATGAGGAGGAAGATGATAATGATGTTGATTAAAACAAGATCTCATGGTCCCATGCTTACTATGAACTTACTATGTAGATAAGAATGAACTTGACCATCTGATCATCCTCCCTCTCCATCTCCCAAGTGCTAGAATTGTAGATATGAGCTATCCCATCCACTTCTCATACTTGTGTAAAGATTGTCTTCTTCTCTTCTTCCAGAAACCTCATGGAAGAAGGGAAGCCAGTTTGTTCATTGAAAAATGCCTAGTACACACTGACTTCTCTTAGGATTGGAGAGGGAGTGGGAGTGAGGGAGTGGGATGGAAATAGGAGGAGGTGGAAACTTTTAATAAATAATTTTAAAAATTTAAAAAATTTCTAGTACTCAAGAACCTAACATAGTGTTGGGCTAGAAGGCAGCACTCAGTAAATGCTTACTGCATAAATGCTGAATGCAGAGACCTGCAAAATGAAGGGAATAAAAAAATCTTGAGGAAATTGAAGAATTATTTGGGCAAAATTGAGAGCAATGGGAAATAGGAACTAATTTCCATTCATCACTTCACAAATACCTATGTATATGTACACCTGTCTAATATACTGAGGGCCTTAGAATTTTTCTCCCAGTATGCTGCTTTATGCTAGCTAGTTTTGTCCAACTAATCTTTACTGACTGAAACTTGCATTGACATGCTTCAAAAGAATTCCACATCACTAATTTATTCAGTCAAGATTTAGTAGTTAATCCTTCTATAGTCTGTGTCTCCAGATAGATTGTAAATCTATTATTAAGTTTGTATCATCAAACAAGATCAGCCATAGGGCTGGCTGAAACTCGCAAAAGAATGTGATGAAGATATAAAAGACTATTTTCCCTGAGTTTGTAACATCTCCAACTTTTCCTACTCTTGTCTTATAGACTCCAAAGAGTGAGGCAAATGAGGCCACCAAAATAGCCATTGATGTAGGTTTCTGTCACATAGATGCTGCATACTTCTACCAGAATGAGGAAGAAGTTGGACAGGCCCTCAGAGACAAGATGGCTGATGGAACTGTGAAGAGAGAGGATTTATTCTACACCACCAAGGTGAGCACTTGTGGACAGAATGGCTGAAAGCCATTGTCAACTCAGGTAAGCCAGACCCAAAAAGAGGAACATGGGATGTACTCACTCATATTTGGTTTCTAGCCATAAATAAAGGACATTGAGCTTATAATTCATGTTCCTAGAGAAGCTAAATAAGAAGGTGAATCCAAAGACAAACACATAGGCATCCTCATGAATAGTAACCTTCATCAGGCAATGAAAGGAGACAGAGACAGAGACCCACATGGGAGCACCAGACAGAAATTTCAAGGTCCAAATCAGGAGCAGAAGGAGAGGGAGCACGAGCAAGGAACTCAGGACCGCGAGGGGTGCACCCACACACTGAGACAATGGGGATGTTCTATCGGGAACTCACCAAGGCCAGCTGGCCCAGGTCTGAAAAAGCATGGGATAAATCCGGACTAGCTGAACATAGCGGACAATGAGGAATACTGAGAACTCAAGAACAATCGCAGTGGGTTTTTTATCCTACTGCACGTACTGGCTTTGTGGGAGCCTAGGCAGTTTGGATGTTCACCTTACTAGACCTGGAAGGAGGTGGGAGGTCCTTGGACTCCCCACAGGACAGGGAACCCTGACTGCTCTTCGGGCTGATGAGAGAGGGGGAGTTGATTGGGGGAAGGGGAGGGAAATGGGATTCAGTGATGGGGAGGAGACAGAAATCTTTAATAAATAAATAAATAATAAAAAAAGAATTTTGCTAATAAGGCTTTTAAACTATATACTGACAGCTGGTATATTTATAATGCTTTGCAAATATTGCAAACCACCCCTTGCATAGGGACCAGCAATGAACAAGTTAAGATATTGTTCCAGCAGATTCAGGAGGCCATACAACATAGAGAGTTACCATGATTTGTGGGACATATCTGAGCACATTCAAATCTTCCTCATCCATTAGCTGAAGGTAATGCTTTAGCTGATGAAGTTACAAAAATAATTGCTCTATCTCAGATTGAACTTGCTCAGCAGTCACATGCTTTGCACCATCAAAATAGTTTTAGTTTAAGATAGCAATTTAAATTGACTAGGAAAGCTGCTCTCCAAATTGTTAAGCAAAGTGAGAGATGTCCATAATATCTGCCTGTGCATCATTTGGGGGTAAAATCCCTGAGGACTCCTTCCTAATCATATATGGCAAATAGTTGTTACTCATGTTACTGAATTTGGAGAATTGAGATATGTACATGTGACAATCAGTAAGTATTCAGGATTCATGATGGCCACTGCAAAAACTGGGGAAGCTGCCAAGCATGTAATAACTCATTGATTGAAATGCTTTTTATTCATGGGAACCCCAAAAGTAATAAAGACAAACAATGGGTCCCGATAGTTAACAGAGCATTTCAAAGATTTTGCGCCCAGTGGAGTATCATACATAAGACTGATATTCCTTATAATCCTCAAGGGCAAGAAATTGTGGAACGTGCACATAGCTCCTTGAAAACACAACTCCAAAAGATGAAAGCAGAGGAGTTGTATCCTCAGATGCCATATAATGCCTTAAATCATGCACTGTTTATGCTAAATTTTCTAAATATGTATATCCATGAGTGATCAGCAGTAAACAGATTGTGGCATAATAGCACAAAGACCACCTTTGCTAAAGCAAACTGGAGGGACCCTTGCACTGGAATATGCAAAGGGCCAGACCCCATATTAATTTGGGGTCGAGGGCATGTCTGTGTTTTTTCCCAGGATGAAAATCAAGTGAGGTGGCTTCTAGAGAGACTGGCTCAGTGCATTCAGCAGAAGAATACCAGACCTGATGACATCATAACTGATAATGGCCCAGCCAAAAGGTGAAATGAAATAAGAGGAGCCAGAGGAGGAACCTGTGATCCAGCTTCACCAGCCCCCACAGAAAGCAATACATGATTTGGGACCTGTTGCTCCTGCCACTCTACACTGCAAAGTACCATTCTGCTTCCAGAGATTCCAGACAAAGTGACCCGGCTGAGATGGCTTAACCATGATGGCTGCAACTTGCTGCAGTTTGAACCCTGTTTGCTTTGGAACTAAGATGAAGACTGAACGTTTGACTGTTTTAAATTCTGGAACACAAAACTCATTTTGGTTAAAATATTGGACCTGAGAACTAAGACCTAAGCTTTCCCCTCAGGGAAAGAAGACTAAAAATAAGAAATGATTGAAGCCTGCTTCAGTAAAGAAAGAGGCAGCCTAAAGATGTACCAGCTGCTCAGACTGACACTAGTATTTGATAATAGCAATGTCATTGTACTCTTACCAGTATTGACCTGATATGAGAAATTGATATGATATTGGTATTGACCAATAATGCTGAGAATTATGGTACTGACAAAGGTATTTGTAAAATTTGGATTGACCAGCAATGCTAAGAATTATAATATTGATCTGTTATTATTTGCAACTGCTGAGAAAAGTTTGACACACCCTGTTAATGTTGGGAGTTAATGCATATGTTAAAGAATTTTAGATGTTGATACAATGTAAAAGATTTAAGAGGTGCTCTAAACTAGTGGAAGAAACATTTTCTACTCAGGATATACTATTCTCCTTAAATAGGAGACTTTGGGAGCATGATTATTCATAAAGCATTATAATTTATCCTGAAAAGAATATATGGCTGTAAGACACAGAGCCCAAAAGTATCTTTCTCCACTAATTACTTTCTTAAAAGAGATCAGCAGTCAATGACTAGTTTGAAGCTTCTTCTCCCCAGATGCCTAAAACAGGAGCTCAAATATATGAATGCCTGTTCCAAAGATGGGAAAATTTGGGTAAATGAAGAGGTCTTTGTCCAAGCCAGTCATGATGGTTCTGTCCTGTTACAGAAGCACAGGTTATATAAAATTAATAAGAGAGAGTGGATTGTAGGCCCATATTTCTACATGGTGTGACAGCCAAGTTCTCTGGCCATGGTTGGTATCCAAAGTAATCATGTACCCTGCTAGACAGGCTGTCACTACCCTAACAAAAGCTCAGGATATGTTGCGCCTTTTCTTTTATAATTATGTAGATCACCTGATCAGAGGTGTGAATTCTAAGCTAGTGACTGAGAGGTGGACATGACTATAGCCCTGCTACTCCCAGAAACAGAATTTTAATGAACTTCCACCTGAGTTTACCTTAGGGGAAAAAAGGTGTTTGGATAATAAATGCAGGTGATCTTCAGGATTTAAATGAAGCCCGAGACTCCCTTCCAACATTGCTGTGTGAACTGTGTCTCTATTCCCGTGCTGGTCGAGAGAGGGAAAAATAGTTTATATTGGGGCATAGAAGCCTGACATAGTGGCGCAACTAGCAAGACACAAAATTAGGGTAGTGTCAGAAAATAATAATTTAGGTTGTCAAGGCCCAGGAAAGCTGAAGGGCTAGTTAAAGTCTGGGAAGTAGGGCATTCATCAGAAACATCTGATTACAAACCCATTGCCATTGTTCTTGAGTAGTCCTCATTGAAATGGGTTTTTGATCCTACTGCATGTACTGGTTTTGGGGGAGCCTAGGAAGTTTGGATGCTCACCTTACTAAACTTGGATGGAGGTGGGCGGTCCTTGGACCTCCCACAGATCAGGGAACCCTGATTGCTCTTTGAGCTGATGAGAGAGGGGGAACTTGTTTGGGGGAGGGGTAGGGAAATGGGAGGTGGTGGCAGAGAGGAGGCAGAAATCCTTAATAAATAAATAAAATTTAAAAAACAAAGAAACATCTGATTAACTTTTCCAGGAGAAGGGACAGGGGACATTCATATCACATGACCTGGTTCATGTTAGTTTTCGGCAAGTCCAGAGTCCAGCAGTTTGTAGTTTGCACATCCCTGGATGGTCATTGTCAGCCAAGTGGAAACCAGGTGAGATAGAAACAGGACAGAAATGTCTTTAGTTCTGTAGTCAGATGAAAAAGACCTGTAGGTCTATATTTAGAGGATAACCAAAAGAAATTTAAAATCATGAGCTTGTGACAAAACAATTTCTGTATTTTGAGAGCTAAATTAATAGTTTTTCAGAATTCCATTGACTAATGTTAAAACTCTGAAAATTTGAAATCTTAATGTAATAATAGCATAAAAGGGGCAAGAAATCTAAAACATTTATATAGATTAACCCATTTTTATACCTTTACAAATTGTATCCATCCATGTATCTCAAAACACTTTTCTTAGATCCTTTCAATTCATGTCCTGGTGTCTTCAGATTTCTATAACTTGCATTTAGACCTTAATAACTTTTAATTTTTAATAAATTAATTTGATTTATACACCTAAATCACTTTTTAAATAACAATTTAAGCTTTCGCATCCTCAGACCTTTATAACTTGCATTTATACATCTTCTTAGATCTTAAGACCCTTTCTCAGACCATCACAGCCTAAGGTTTAAACTTTACCCCTTTTTAATATCTAGTCATTAACCAGGAGACACAAATGGTTGAGTACTGAGGGCAGTCACTATAGAGTGAGTTCCTCTACATAAAGGAATAGTAAAATGTTACCTTGAAATCTGTTTTGTGAGTTTATCTCTTTTCTGAGTCTCATAAAAGGTAAACTGTGTCTAGACATAGTAGGAGGTCTAGGAGAGTGAGGCATGTGGCCTGAATTTTACACACAAAGAGAACTGAGAAAGAAGGTGAAGCTCTGGGGAAAGAAATGGATGTTTGCTGTTATGAAAGCTACTAGTATCAAGATTGTATATTAGTAAAGTCTTTTAAGAATTCAAGACGTTTTATAGCCTTAAAATACTATTCTTAAAGGTTCTTTTTTAATATATATTGAGCATTTGGGGAATTTAAACGTTTTATAACATTTAAACTTTTTCCAATAAAAGTTTATCATCTTTATTCATGCTAGAGAAATTTCTCAATATTCTAGTTTCCCTTAGCAGAGTTCTTTCTCCCATTGGATACAGCTGGATTTTTACTTTTTTGAGATGATTTTAATGTTTCTTCCAGGATGGATCAAACTACAGCAGGCTAGGCTGTTGGAATCAAGCAATGGTTTTAACCTTTAAATTCTTAAATTGGCAATT